ACCAAAGATAGATACAATCATTAACTCATGATACTTGTACTGTACCAAAATATAAAAATCTTTTCAGCTCATAATTATCATACTTGCATCACTGTTTAAAAATCTTTTTCCTTTACAATTATACATTACTTTTATTTAGTCCATTCTTAATATGAAATGAATGATATGAATAAATGGATCAGCCTTTTGCAAAAGACAATGCAAAGCATAACAAATATGCTACCTCTTCCCTGATTGCAGCACTGACAACACTGTGCATGTGGACAGTCACGTTAAAAAATAATAATAATAATTAATAAAATCACAAAGATATTTCTTTGGCTCACTTCCCCCAACTTATTCTTCTGAAAATTGCTAAATGAAACTGAAAGGACAAATTATATCTTAAAAGGATGTATTAAAAAGTCTAGTTGCAATGATCAATAACAGATTATTGACTACTAAAGAGGCTTGTCCTGTAAAATAGTTTTAAAAAGTTCTCAGCACATTGCACAAAAATTTGTCCTAAGTTCTTTTCTCAATGTTCAGAACATGATCTTACCAAATACTATATGCTCTACTATCACAGGTCAAGTGTTAAAAGGCTAAGTTTGTCTGAAATAATAACAACTAGAAATAAGATTTGTTGAAATTTTGACCATAAACCAGATTATTAACTTTTAATACAGCTCATAATAATACCTGAGATACATCATGATGTTATCACGTTACACAAAATACCTAAGACTTTGAAGAATGGAGTGATGCACATTAAGTATCAATTATCTGTATGTCAGTGTGAGATAATAATGATTAAAAGTGGATGCTCATTAGTAAAAATGTAATATAAGAAATACAAATACAGCCAGTTCCTGTATGCTTGTTACATACAAATATCACAATGGTCAATTTCCCTCCCACATATACAGTAGATTAAGTTTCCTCAAAATAGTAACAATCATTGGATGAATAATTTATATACTGTTTACTACTAGGAGTCTGGATCACTTCGTCATTGTATACGAGCATCCACTTTTGTGTTTTGTGAAATAATAATAATTCCATTTTGTCATCACAAATCATTTATCACAAAGGCTAAGTTAGCATAGCTCTGTGAAAACTCTGAGTTAGGAATAGTGATATTACTTAGCTTGTCAGTCACTTTGTGTGGGTTAGTAGTTTAAAGTTACCAGCTATTACCTAAGTTAGTTAATCCACTGAGAATTAATGCTAAACAAATACTGTAAAAGAACAAAAAGTCAAGAACATAGATGCAATACTGGGCAGAAATGTCTTACTGAAAGAAAAAAATAAATTCCTAAGCAAAAATTTACTGTATGAAGAAAATAGTAATGTTACTCAACTCAAGATAAGGTTTGCAAAGTATCATAACCTTGTCACTCAACTGGAGTTCTTGCTTATGTTTGTCATATTTTTTGGCACAACAGCTTTTCTTGAGTATCAGAATTGGTACAATGAAATAAGATACAGTACAGGTACAGTATAACTTTTCATAAAAATTATGCAATTAACAAAATCATATATGCAAAGCAATACGTAACTAG